ACCCTCAGCTGATCAGCACCAGGGCATGGGGGAGTCACTAATCAATGACCCTCCGCTGGTCAGCACCAGAGACAGGGGGGAGGTAACTAGACAATGACCCTCAGCTGGCCATGATCAGGACATGGGGTCACTAGCCATGACCCTCAGCTGGTCTTGAGGCAGCCATGGGGTCACTTGTCTGTTTTGCTGCTTTTCCAGGCCTGGAGCTGAAATACAACTGAGGCCTAGATGTTATCTTTAGGGAGGAAAGGTCAAGGGGTGGAAACGCAGGACCAGCTACGTGCTGGAGAAGGAGAGGTGACCCTGGGGCCTTGTTTTCCCAGTCCTGCTCCTTGTGAGGCACCTGGGGCTCTCTGCCCCGGTGAGAGTCTGTACCCAGCCCATTGTCCTTGCTCGGCTCATGTCTGTCTGACTGCCTGTAACACCATATTGAAAGAATGAGTGAACGAATGAATAAATGTACAAATGTCCTAGAGCAACTGGAACAAAGCGCCACAAATAAGGCGACTGAATCAGCAGAAACATTCCTCAGTTCTGGAGGCCGGAAATCTAAAAGCGAGGTGCCCGCAGGCCATGCTCCCTCGGAATCCTGCAGGGAGGCCCATTCCTGGTCCCTCCAGCCTCTGCTGGTCGCTGGGGATCTTAGCATCCTTGACCTGTAGATGCATCCCTTCCATCTCTGCCCCCGTCTTCACAGAACCCTTTCCCTGCGTGTCAGCCTGTGTCTCTCCTCCTCTCGTTAGGACACCAGTCACATTGCGTGAGGGCCTCCCTCGTGTTCTCATTCACGCGAATATCTCTGCAGAGACCCTACTTCTGAGGTCATATTTACAGGAACCAGGGGCTGGGGATCAACGTATCTTTTTTTTTTTTTTTTTTTTTTTTTTTTTTTTTTTTTTTTTTTGAGGACACACTTCAACCCATAACAACTTCCAAGGGCAACTTGCTCGTGGTCTGATTTTCATTTATCACTAAGGCTCTCAGGGCTTGCTTTGTCCCTACAAGCAAAAGGCCTACAGCTTTTATGGGCCGTGCTGCCTTACACCCGGCAAGGAGGTACTTATGTCACCCTTGATTCCTCTTTCCTTCCTGTGAGACCATCCATGCTGCCTTTGTGGCCACGGTAATGACTGTGTTGACTCCCAGTTTCAGTGCCCGTGTTTCTCTCCCTTCTGGGCGATGACAAGAAGCATTCTAATATCTAAAGATGTTAAACTGACCTCACACTCTTACTGAAGTTCACAGTTCTCTATGCGGTCCTTAAGCCTCATTACAGTCCAGAACAAGTCTTGCTTGTTCTGCTAAAAGCCAGATAAGTACGCAAAAGCAGGAAAGGTAGAGCTCTACCTTTCCTGCTTTTGCGTACTTATCTGGCTTTTAGCAGAACAAGCAAGACAGGTGGCTAGACCTTAAACCCATGACTTCTTTGCAAATGTCTTCCACAAGTGACTACCAGATTTCATGTTTCACTAAACATGAAAACCTTCCTTAAAATAGAACAGGAGGCAATAGATTATGTCATGGTATGCTTGTAGCTCTAGTCAAATAACCTGGATTTTAAAAAAATATGTCATTCTAAAACTCCTCTCACCTCCACTCCTCATTCACAGTAACATGGGCCTAAACTCAATTGCTGGAAGCTAAAAGCTATGCACTGATTGTTCTGTCAAGGCAATGGTGGCACAAGGCAATCCTCCAACCTGATAACCTTTTACTGTTTAACAAACTTTATCTTTGATATGCTTGTTTGCTTTTCTAAAAGGAAAATGTGTATTCTAGTAAATAAAAGCTGGAGATTAGGAGAGCTTCGCCACTAGAGTAAAACCTATGCCTAGCTTCCCCATGCCTTCTAAATTTATATTTGTCTAGTGTATTCGTTTATGTGAAGCCCCTTCTCCAGATCCTGAATCCTTGTTGAAGAAGGTTGTGGCATTTTTGTGCCCCAAAAGGGACATCTGGAGAAGAAGATTTGCTGGTGCGAAAAATGAAGTTCACCGGAAAGGTGGGATCACCGGAAAGGGTGGGGAGATTCACTACACATATAGCTCATGCCAAGCTTTGGAAGTCGTGATCTGTAAGTGGGTGAGAATGCCTTTTTCAAGCCAGGCCTTAATGGGGAAAAATTTGAATAAAAGTCAAAAATATCGTTGTAAATTTTAGGTTTATATGCTCAAAAATAAAGAAATTAAAATGTCTAAAGCTACTCTCTTAAACCAGACTCAAGGAAAATGAGTGCCCTTGTCATATTTATATGGACTCTTGTTCAAACTGCATTATGCCTAATTCATATTGGGAATCAAAAGTCGTTAATACATAAGGTCCCAGGGTCCTCTGTCTCTAGTGTGGAAAGGCTCAACAGCTAGAGAAAATAGAGCTATCAGTCCATTTACAAAAGGACTTTGTAAATGGACTGATAGCTTTAATGCTTTGTCTGGAAAATGCCATATGAAGCCTTGGGACAGACAGATTTTAGCTAAAATAACTTTATAGGCCAGTCAATGCTATGAGGAGAAAGATCCAAGAACAGAACTCTGATTTATTAAGTCTTGTCTATGTGTTATGGGTACCTGTCTGTTGATTGTAGTTTTATCTATCTTTGTTGTTTATTGTTATTCTATTAAGCATGCCTTTAATTTAATAAGTAAAGAAACCTAGGTGGCCAGGCCATTTACTGAATTTCCCCAGAGCAAACAGGATATGGGGGTGGGGAGACACGTAGCCAATGATACAAGTCCTAGGAGGCAAAAGGAGGGAGAAATAACTAAAAAGGCTCCAGCCCATTAATTACTGGGTTCTTCTGATGATCCTGTAAAATGGTCACCCACTCATAAGAGTGTTATTAAAAGTCTCATTTTCACGATGTTTTTATTTCCCAGGCTGTCATTTGAAATTTGGATAGATGAAACACTTCTCACTATGTAAGGGATACATCTGGGATTTATGTACCCGTGGGGAGAAAAGGCTAGCTTAAGAGAAGGTGCGCCCCATCCAACTTTGGGTGGCCTCTTGGGCTGACTCCATCTCTTTATATCCATAGAGTAAACCCAAGACTGTTTTTCTTTAAAAGATGGCAAAAATGGCACAAGGAAAATATACATGCTGGTTTAGGCAACAAGATTAGTATTCCCATAATAAAGGGTCGTTCTTGAGTAACAATAGACCGCATTCCAACGTTAACATTAAGGCCACTGAAAGTCAGTAAACTGTCTCTGTTGCAGAATTTGCCAAAGCAAATGCCTTAAATAATAGCAATTGGCTTTAAAATATCAAAATTGTTGAAAGATGGATAAATAGATGTAACTAAAATGAAGAATTTGTGGTGAAGCTTTTCATTAATAATTATAAATATATTGATGGTTGGGGTCCAGTCACTCAGGGGGGAGACTGGCTAAAGCACTCTGTTGGAGGACTGAAAGGTCACAGGTTCGATTCCGGTCAGGGCATGTACTTTGGTTGCAGGCACATCCCCGGTAGGGTGTGTGCAAGAGGCAGCTGGTCGATGTTTCTCTCTCATCGACGTTTCTACAGTAGCTATCTCTCTCCCTTCCTCTCTGTAAAAAATCAATAAAATATATTAATTTTAAAAAAGTGCTATAGCAATGTCAAATTGAAAAACAAACAAACAAGCAAACAAACAAAAAAACACACCTAGAATTCAACTGTGTATGTTGAGATTTGGTTTTATTTATGCTACTAGCTAAGTAAAAAGCATACATGTTGTGTCTGTGGTACAGTCAATACATTTGCGACTATTCAACTTAAATTCTCTATACAAAGTCACTGCCAATTGATATGATCACTGATGGCACAGGGCTTAGAAAAACCAAAAGGTATAAAAAGTTTGCAGTCTTGCCTCAAGATATGAAAACTAATTTTAAAACAATGTCATAAAATACATGATTAAAAGAGTATATGAAAAAGAAGTCACATCAAATCAAGTATAAAAATAGCCAAACTGCCTATTATGAGCTGTAATGTTTCCATTAGTCCACACAGGATCTGACATAGAACTTAGCAGTTTCCAAATACGCATCATTTATTTTGAGCACTGCCACCTCTGCAGAATAGGGAGCTGGAGGAGTGACACTGCTGTTAGTGTTTTTAAAAATACAAAACCTTTCCCCATAAATTAATGAAGGAAAGAAATGGCTCTTCTAGGCTTCTTAGTAGCCAACCCTGTGCCTGGAATTATAGGCTACATCTACTGTTTAACAGGGGAAAGTTATACTACTCGAGAAATTGTTATCCAACTGGGATAACTATTGAACTTATCAATGGTGTTTCTTTGATAATTTGAAGGAATTCTCAGTATTCACAGAGATTATTGTTTTGCCTTGGTGAAAATAAAATAGAAGTCGCAAAACAATCTGAATTAAAATCATCTTCACTAGTTTAACTTGCAGAAAATATATTTTGGATAAAAGATTATAATATATTACAATGTATTATAAAAGGTTTTGTATTTTTAAACACAGTGTAAAGTTGCTCTCAGTAACATTAACTCCACCACATGGCACAATATTTTGAAGTAAAATCTGCTCAACAATAACAACGTGCACACAAATTAATGTAGGTGAATTAACTTTGAGAACGTCTCTGCCTTTAAAATTAGCAATATTGAGTTCACTTTTTACAATAGCACATATACCAATGTTCTGCATAGAAAAAGGTGAAAGACATTATAAAGGGCTAAATTTTCCAGGATTGCAATGATTCCTTCATATATAACTGGTGAAGTAAATTTAATAAGAATGTATTTTTCCTGACCTTCAAGTTCTGAGCCATGCCTGAAAAGTTCTAAATAGGAAAAAAAAAATTGTTTTTAAAAGTCTTAATCCAGTTTCTGTCTGCTAGGAGCAAGGCAGCAAATATGTTTTCAAACCCTTTATGAAAAGATAAAGCAGAACAAAAGTGATATATATCTTCAGATTATAAACAGGATTGTTTGTTCTAGTCCACCATCCTGACAATGAATGTTAAGGGCTCCAACAGTAAGGATTTCAGTGCACACGTTGTGAACGGGTGACAGAGAGGGCCTGGAGAACTTTGTCTAGGAGCTCGCGGGCCGGGTGCAAGTGAATCTCAATCCAGCAAGGAGTTTCCTTGATGCTCAGACTTGGGTACTTCGATCCCCAGCCTTGCACAAAACTCATCCTGAGGATGCATATGTCCTGTAGGTCTTTCACCCCCATCAGTGAAGGATCTGTCACATGTAGCAGAAAAAAATTGAAAAGACATCAGGAGGCCAGGCTGATCTCTTCCCATTCTCCCTCCATCTTGCATTAATAAAGTGACAGCTCTCTTTAGTTCACTCTCCCCAGCATATAATTATCCATCCAAGTGACAAGAAGTACAGACCTAAATGTTATCAATGGAGACTGATAACTTTTGGGTTGCATTTGTGGATAATAAAGAACATTATAAACTGATGAACAAAAACTGATGAACAAAAAAAGATAGGTACAGAGGCGGTAAAGCATCCAACAGACTGTCAAATTACAGTGGGAAGATGAGGGAGAGGTGGGAGGGATAAGAGATCAACCAAAGGACTTTTATGCATGCGTATAAGTATAACCAATGGTTGCAAATCACTGGGGAATGAGGTCATGTGGGGGAGGCAATGGTAAGATATGTACACATATAATACCTCAATTAAAAAATGGGGTGGGGGAACAAGACAAAAAAAAAAAAAAAAACAGAAAAAAAACTTGGTTCAGACAATTTGCATTCCACCTGAGTCATCTGCCTAACCAGCAATTAGAAAGTAAATTACTGCAATCTACCCACACCCCACCCATTTTTCTCTTTAGAAATGGAGGTGAATAGAGGAAATAAGAAGCAACTTGACTTTAAAGGTAGTGCATGTCCACAGAACGGGTCATGCAAACCTCCTGTCTATCTAAACAGCCTGGTTCAGAGTAAGACATGACTAATAATGAAACAGTTAAGAGTCCTGGTTCCATTAAAGCTTCTTGGAAGACCCCGACGATGTCTCTCCATTTCCCAATGTAACAGAATATGCAGCTACTCAATCAAATAGGGCATTAGATGAGAATGAGAACTTTAATATTTCTGGATTCTTCACTAAAAGAATGTTTATAGCATCAGAACTAGCAAATGAATGGTTTAGATGCCTAAATTTAAAAAAAAAAAAAATCAAATTCTGTAAATGAAAAAGTTCAGGAGGCACAGATAGTCCCAACCAAGAACTTAAACAGGCCTATGCTCAGACACATCATAATTAAAATGCCAAAAATTACACAAAGAGAAAATGTTAAAGGCAAGCCAAGACCGGTTTGGCTCAGTGGTAGAGCATCGGTCTGCGGACTGAAAGGTCCCGGGTTTGATTCCGGTCAAGGGCATGTACCTTGGTTGCGGGCACATCCCCGGTGGGGGGTGTGCAGGAGGCAGCTGGTTGATGTTTCTCTCTCATCGACATTTCTAGCTCTCTATCCCTCTCCCTTCCTCTCTGTAAAAAAAATCAATAAAATATATATTTTTTAAAAAATGTTAAAGGCAATAAGAGAAAAGCAAACTGCTGCCTACACAGGAGTTTCCAGACGGCTGTCAGCTGATTTTTTATCAGAAACTCTACGGGCCAGAAAGGAATGGCGTGAAATACTGAAGATAATGAAATGCATGGATCTAAAGCCAAGATTACCTTATCAAGCAAGGTTATCATTCAAAATAGGTGGTGAAATAAAGAGCTTCCCAGACAAAAAAAAAAAAAAAAAGTCTAAAGGAGTTCTTCACAACCAAACTAGCACTGCAAGGAATGCAAAAGGGACTGCTGTAATGAGAAGCGATAAATAGGATTAGAGAAACATATGCATAAAGAATTAAAATGGCAATAAGTACCTATCAATAATAACCTTAAGTGTAAATAGATTAAATACTCCAATCAATAGACATAGGATAACTTAATAGATACAAAATCATGATCCAATTATGTGCTGCAACAAGAGATTCACCTCAGAACAAAGACTCACATAGGATTAGAGTGAAGGAATGGAAAAAATTTTCCCATGCAAATGAAAATGAAAAATGAAAAAGCTGGGGTAGCAATACTCAGATATGAAAAAATAGATTTCAAAATGAAGGCCATCATAAGAGACCATATAGGTCACTACATAATACTAAAGGGATCAATCCAACAAGAGGATATAACCCTGGTAAACATATGTGTATACCCAATATAGGAGCACCTAAATATATTTAATAAAAAACAAAAAACAAAAAACAAACCTCTAGAGGTCTTTTAAGGGAGAGATCAACAACAATACAGTCAGAATTGGGGACTTTAACACCCTGCTGACTTCACTGGTAGACCTTCCAGACCAAAAAATAACAAGGAAACAGTAAATCTAAATGACACATTGGGTCAGGTGGATTTCATTGATATTTATAGAACATTTCACCCCAAAGCTACAGAATATACATCCTCAAATTCACCTGGGTCATTCTAAAAGGTAAACCACATGTTAAGACACAACAAGTCTCTACAAGTTGAAGAAGATGGAAATCATAGTAAGTGTCTTCTCAGATACAATGAAATGAAATTAGAAATCAATTACAGTAAAAAAATTAAAAAAGCATTCAAACACATGGAGGCTAAATAGCATGTTATTAAACAATGAATGATTTGCCAGTGAGAACAAAAAGGAAATAAAAAAATTTCCTGGAAACAAATGAAAATGAGCACACAACAATGCAAAATCTCTGGGGCACAACAAAAGCAGTCCCAAGAGGGAAGTTCATAGCATTATTATAGGCATACCTTAAAAAAAATTTTTTTTTAACAAAAACTATTTAACTCTACAACAGAGAACTAGGAAGAGAACAACAAGGAAAGCCCAGAGTAAGTAGAAGGAAGAAAATAATGAAGATTAGAGCAGAAATAGATGATACTGAGACTAAAAAGGCAATACAAAAATCAATAAAACCAAGAGCTGGTTCTTTGAAAAAATAAGATTGATGAACATTTAGTAAGGCTCATCAAAAAACAAGAGAGAGGACCCAAATAAATAAAATCAGAAACAAAAGTGGAAAAGTAACAACACAAAAATACAAAGGATTATAAGAAAATACTATGAGCAACTATATGCCAACAAGCTGGACAATATGGATGAAGTAGACAAATTCATAAAAAAAAAAATACATTCTTCCAAAATTGAATCAAGAAGAGTCAGAAAACCTCAACAGGCCAATTAACATTAAATAGAAACAGTAACCAAAAGACACACAACAACAAAAGCCCAGGTCCAGATGGCTTCACAGGGGAGTTCTACCAACCATTCAAAGAAGAGCTGCCAACTATGTTCCTCAAATGATTCCTTCCAAGAGGAAGGAACACTTTCAAGCTCTTTTTATAAGACCAGCATTATCCTAGTCCCAACACCAGATAAAGACCCCACAAGTAAGAGAATGACAGGCCAATATCCCTGATGAACATAGATGCTGAAATCCTCAACAAACTATTAGCAAACTAGATCCAGCAATATATTAAAAAGATCATACACCATGAACAAGTGAAATTTATTCCAGGAATGTAAGGCTGGTACAATATTTTCAAATCAATACACATGATACATCACATAAACAAATTGAAAGACAAAAATCACATTATTATATCAATAGACATAGAAAAAGCATTCAACAAAATTCAATACCCATTTTTTATAAAAACTCTCCCCATAGTGAGACTAGAGGGCTATCTCAGCATATTGAAGGCCATATATGACAAATGTACAGTCAACATCATATTTAATAGGCAAAAACTAAATGCATTTCTCCTAAGAAAAGGAACAAGACAAGGATATCTGCTATCCCCATTCTTATTTAATATAGTCCTGGAAGGCTTACCACAGCAAGATCAGATAAGAAGAAACATAAAAGGCATCCAAATTCGAAAAGATGAAGAAAACATGATATTGCACATAGAAAACCCTAAAGATTCCACTAAAAAAAAAAACCTACTAGATTTAATGAAGGAATTAGGCAATTTGCAGGATACAAAGTTAATACCCAGAAATTGATTGCAATTTTTATACACCAATAATGAATTCTCAGAAAAATAAACTAAACAAACAACCCATTTACCAAGGCAACAAAAAAAGTAAGATACTAAGGAATAAACTTAACCAAGGAGGTAAAAGACTAGTAGTAGGAAAACTACAGGAGATAGAGGAAAAAAGAGATGGTGGAAGATATAAACAAGTGGAAGATATATACCATGTTCATGGATTGATAGAATTAACATAATTAAAACATCCATACTACCCAAAGCAATTTACAGATTCAATGCAATCCCTATTAAAATAACAACAGCATGTTTCATAGCTCTAGAACAAATACTCCAAAAATGTATATGGAACCAAATAAAGACCCAGAATAGCCAAAGCAATCTTGAGAAAAAGAACAAAAGTTGGAGAGATCACAATACTACATACCAATTTATATTACAAAGCCATTGTAATTAAAACTGCCTGGTACTGGCAAAAGAACAGACATATTGATCAATGGAATGGAACAGAGAACCCAGAAATCAACCCAAGCCATTATGTTCAATTAATATTTCATGAAGGGAGAAACCAAGATGGCAGCATAAGTAAATACCTAAACTGCTGTCTTGCACAACAATTTCAAAACTACAACTAAAAGACAAAACGCACATCAATGAGAACCACAGGAAAGCTGGCTAAGTGGAAATTCTACAACTAAAAGGAAAGAGAAAAACACACTGAGACTCAGAGAAGCTAGAGAAGGTACTGAGATGCATGCGCGGAGATGGTGGACAACTGAGTACGCAGCTGGCATTCTCAAGCAGGAGGGAGACAAAAGCTCCCAACTGCACTGAACTCCAGTTCTGGGTGACACTGGGGACCCAGACTCATTCTGGGAGAAAACTGACTGTCAGGCAGTGTGCAAAACTTGGGGGCGGCTCTCTTTCAGAGGTGCTTACAGCAATTATTGCAGGACACTAAGACCCAGACGCCTCTTATCTCAGGGTTGACAGAAAAACCAATGCTGTCTACTCTGCCCTGAGACTCTGCCCCATCCAAGCTGAGCACTGAGGCTTTTGCAAGTCTTGTCTCATAAGAGTGTCTCCAGCACAGAAGTTCTCCCAGCATAGACACAGCTGATCCTCAGAGCCAATAAGCCTGGATGTCAATTCCCCACAGTAATACCAACAACATTAAGGCTTAACTACAACAAGACTGTGTACACAGCCCACAAAGGGGTGCGCCAAGAGTGTCCACCTCAGGTAATTGGGGAGGCTGAGCCACTGGGCCCTATAGGACACCTAGCACACAAAGCCACTCTATTAACTCAGGGAAGCAGCAAAAATGTGGAGACAAAGAAACAAATTATAAATGAAAGAAATGGAGGAAAGCAAATGACTAGATATAGAGTTCAAAACCAGTTATAAGGTTTTTCAAAAATTTTCCAGAAAATGCCCATAGCCCTAACTGGTTTGGCTCAGTGGATAGAGCCTCAGCCTGCAGCTTCAAGGGTTCCAGGTTCAATTCCAGTCAAGGGCATGTACCTTGGTTGCAGGCACATACCCAGCAGGGAGTGTGCAGGAGGCAGCTGATAGATGTTTCTCTCTCATCCATGTTTCTAGCTCTCTATCCCTCTTCTTCCTTTCAGTAAAAAAATCAATAAAATATATTTTTTAAAAAGAAAAGGCCGATAAATTTAGTGAGACCCTTGAGGATATAAAAAAGAACCAACTAGAAATTAAATATACACTGACTGAAATAAAAAATATAATACAGAGATCCAACAGCAGATTAGAGGAATGCAAGAATCAAGTAAACACTTTGAAATACAAAGAAGCAAAAAACACTCAACTGGAAAAGCAAAAAGAAAAAAACAATCCAAAAATATGAAGACAATGTAAGGAGCCTCTGGGACAACTTCAAGCGTATCAACATCAGAATTATGGGGGTGCCAGAAGAAGAGAGAGAGCAAGATACTGAAAACCTACTTGAAGAAATAATGACTGAAAACTCCTCCTACCTGGTGAAAGAAATAGACTTATAAGTCTAGGAAGTGCACAGAACCCCAAACAAAAGGAATTCAAAGAGGACCACACCAAGACACATCATAATTAAAATGACTAGAGCAAAAGACAGAGAATATTAAAACAAGCTAAAACAGTTACCTGCAAGGGAGCACCCATACAACTGTCAGCTGTTTTCTCAACAGAAACCATGCAAGCCCAATGAGAGTGGCAAGAAATATTTAAAGTGATGAATAGCAAGAACCTACAACCAAGATTACTCTACCTAGCAAAGCTATCATTCAGAATTAAATATCTATGAAGCTTTTTGTCTGACAAGAAAAAGCTAAAGAAGTCCATCACCACCAAACTAGTATTATATGAAATGCTGAAAGGTATTCTTTAAGAAGAGGAAGAAGAAGAAAAAGGTAAATATAAAAAGTATGAACAACAAATACATATCTATCAACAAATGAATCTAAAAATTAAATGATTTAAAAATCCGAGGAACAGAATAAACTGGTGAATATAATAGAATCAGGAGTATAGAAAGGGAGTGGACTGATAATTCTCATGGGGGAAGGGGTGTTGGGGGGTGTGGTAAGAGATTGGGCAAAAATTGTATATCTATGGATGAGGACAGTGTCAGGGGGTAAGGGTAGAGGGTGGGGTTGGAACCATGTGGAGGGGAGCTATGAGCGGAAAAAGAGAAACAATTGTAATAATCTTCACAATAAAGATTTATTAAGTTAAAAAAAAACTAAAATAAAATAATACTTAATGAAGGAGGCCAGAGTATACATTGGAGTCAAGACAGTCTCTTCAATAAATGATGTTGTGTGAAAATAAAAAGTAAAATATCATAAATAAATAAAGTTGGAAAAATTGAACAGATACGTGCAAAAAAGTGAAACTGGTCCACCAACTTACACCAACTCAAAATGGATAAAAGACCTAACTGTAAGTGGTGAAACCATAAAAAAATCCTAGAAAAAACCACAGGCATCAAAATCTCAGACATCTCTTGTAGCAGTATGTTTGTGGATACATTTCCTAGGGCAAAGAAAACTAAGGAGAAAATAATCAAATGGGATTACATCAAAATAAAAAGCTTCTGCATAGCAAAAGAAACAATCAACAAAATGAAAAGGGAAGCCACTGTATGGAAGAATATATTTGGCAATGATACATCTGATAAAGGTTTAATATTCAACATATATAAGGAACTCACAACTTAACAAAAGGAAGACAATCAAGTTTAAAAAATGGACAAAGGATCTAAATAGACACTTCTTCAAAAGACATATGAAAAAATGCTCCAAGTCACTGATCATCAGAGAGATGCAAATTAAAACAGTGAGGTACCACCTCACACCTATCAGAATGGCTACCATCAACAAATCAATAAATAACAAGTGCTGACGAGGATGTGGAGAAAAAGGAACCCAAGTACACTGCTAGTGGGAATGCAGAGTGGTGCAGCCATTCTGGAAAACAGTATGGAGTTTCCTCAAAAAGTTAAATATGACACTGTTATTTGACCCAGTGATCCCACTTCTAGGAATATGTCCTAAGAATCCCAAAACCCTAGTCAGAAAGAATGTATGCACCCCTTTGTTCATAGCAATGCAATTCTCCCTAGCTAAGATCTGGAAACAAGCCAAGTGCCCATTAGCAGATGAGTGGATAAAAAAGCTGAGGTACGCTTACACCATGGAATACTATGCAGCAGCCAAAAAGAAGGATCTCTTACCCTTTGAGACAGCATGGAGGGACCTGGAGAGTAGTATGCTGAGTGAAAGAAGCCAGTCAGAGAAAGACAAGCATCACATGATCTCACTCATAGGTGGAATCTAATGAACAAAATGAACTGATGAACAGAATAGGTCCAGAGACACGGAAGCATGGAACAGACTGTGGAATCTCAGAGGGAAAGTGAGGGAGGGTATTTGGTGGGAAGAGAACAACCAAAGAATTTGTATGCATGTATGCATAACCCATGGGCACAGACCATAGGGGGGTGAGGACCGGGAGCACAGGGGGGAGGCCTAGAAAGGGGAAAGGGGACATATTTAATATTTTCAATAAGGGGGAAAAGAGAATATATATAATATTTTAAACAATAAAGATTTTAAAAATTAAATTAAAAAAAACAACAACAACAACACAAATGCATACTTACGGCTTACAAGTGTTTCACCTTGTGCTCCAGGGAGAGGGAAGACTTCGGACCCGGGTGTTTCCAGGGTATCCCCTATCATATCTATGTAGAGCAGATGCCTCAGGATTAGATTATAATACTCAGTCAAATCAAAGACCTAAAAAAAAAGGGGGGGGTGGGGAGGGGAGGATCAGTTTAATGTTACGAGTCCACCAGAAAAGATTCCAGATAACAATCCACACGCAATTTACTTAAAACCCGTAGCTTCATTTAGCTCTCAGAAGGAAACAATTTAAAATGTCCAGTTTCCATGTATACTGGAATTGGTGGTTAAGAAAGCTGGCCAGCAGGACAGCAGTGGTGGCGACATGCCCGAGCCCTTGATCTAAGTCCGTGTGGGTCAGTGTTAGGGTCCCTGTGAAAAATGACCTCTTCGTAAAGAACTTCTTCACTGATACTGCCCCTAGGGCAATGGAAGCTAAAGAGAAAATAAACAAATGGGACTACATCAAAATAAAAAGCTTTTTTACAGCAAAAGAAACCATCAACAAAACAAGAAGAAAGCCCACAGTGTGGGAGAACATATTTGCAAATAATACCACTGATAAAGGTTTAATCTCCAACATTTATAGACAGCTTATACAAATAAATAAAAGGAAGATGAATGATCCAATTAAAAAATGGGCAATGGACCTAAATAGAATATTTTCAAAAGAAGACAGAAGGAAGGCCAAAAGGCACATGAAAACATGCTCAAAGTCACTAATTGTCCGAGAGGTGCAAATCAAAACAACAATGCGGTACCATCTCACACCTGTCAAAATGGCCAACATCAACAAATCAACAAACAACAAGTGTTGGCGAGGTTGTGGAGAAAAAGGAACCCTCGTGCACTGCTGGAGGGAATGCAGACTGGTGCAACCATTGTGGAGAACAGTGTGGAGTTTCCTCAAAAAACTGAAAATGGAACTCCCATTTGACCCAGTAATCCCACTTTTAGGAATATATCCCAAGAATCTAGAAACACCAATCAGAAAGGATATTTGCACCCCTATGTTCATAGCAGCACAATCTACAATAGCCAGAATTTGGAAACAGCCTAGGTGCCCGTCAGCAGATGATTGGATCCAAAAACTTCGGTACATCTACACAATGGAATATTATGCTGCCATAAAAAAGAAGGAATTCTCATCATTTGCAGCAACCTGGATGGAATTGGAGAACATCATGCTGAGTGAAATAAGCCAATCAATTAAAGAAAAATACCACATGACCTCACTCATTGGTGGACGATAAAGATCATTATAAACTGATGAACCAAGAGACAGATATAGAGAAATTAAAGCAACAGGCAGACTGTCAAATTACAGTGGGGAGGGGAGGAAGATCTGGGGGAGATAATAGATCAACCGAAGAACTTATATACATGCATATAAGTACAACCAATGGACATAAAACCCTGGGGATGGAGGGGATTTGTGGGAGGAAAGGAGGGGGGTAAAAAAAAAAAATCAATAAAATATGTTAAATAAATAAATAAATAAAAAGAAAAATGACCTCTTTGTGTAAAAAAACACACACACACAAAAAGAAAACATTAACAAATCGCCCCCACCCTTTCAAGACCAACTGCTACGAGTTTTCTGAAGGCTGGATTGATGACCTTGGTTATTAGTTATATAGCTAACTTCTTTTCTTCACTATTCCAGGAGTGTGATAAGAGGCATTGACACTACATTTAAAAAAAAAAATCTGCATTTTTAAGAAATGCATACGTTACTACCTAAGAGCAAAATAACTTGTGTCTGGTACATAGTATATATTCAACACGGTCACGTTCTGTTCATTCATTTCAAATGACAAATAATCCAAAGATTCCCAGTCAGGATGAAGGTGAGGTATGTATGACAACCTTCTTTCTCTGCTCCATTTATTATACATGCAAACGTTATTAAAAAATTGATATCCTTGCCCAGCCAGTGTTTCTCAGTGGTTAAACATCAACCTATGAACCAGGGAGTCACCTTGTGATTCCCATTCAGGCACATGCCCGGATTGCAGGCTTGATCCCGGTGGGGGGTGTGAAGGAGGCAGCCGATCAAAGATTCTCTCTCATCATGGATGTTTTCTGTATCTCTCTCTCCTTTCCTATAATTTTTTAAATTTATATTCTCCAATCCAGGCATATAATACCTATGGAAAACCAGGGGATAGCAATAGCCCAAAAATCCTGAAAAAGAACAAATTTAGAGAATTCACACTTCCCAATTTCAAAACTTGCTGCAAAGCTACAGTAATTGAAGCAGAGAAGTGCACTCATAAGAATAGATACACAGATCAATGAAATACAACTGATAGCATAGAAACAAGCCTTTATATTTAAGGTCAATTTAATTTCAACAGGGGTATCAACATAATTTGATAAGGGAAACGGTCTTTTTGACAAATGGTTGCTGGAACAACTGAATAGTCTCGTGCAGAAGAACGAAGCTGGATCAACCTCCTTAAACTATGCACAGAAATTCACTAAAAATGTCTAACAGGCCTAAATTTACAGCCAGAACTATAAAACCCTTAGGACAAAACACAGGAGTCATACATTTTCAGGACCTTGGAGTAGGCAATGGTTTCTTAGATATGACACCAAAAACACACCCATTCAAAGAACAGATAAACTCAAAGATACCAAATTGAACAAGTTTTGTATAGGATGCAAATCATATCAAGAAAATGAAAGACAAGCCAAAGAACCCTCACATATACATCGCTGGTGGAAATGGAAAAGGGCATGGCCACTTTTGAAAAACAGTCTGTCGTCCCTCAAAAAGTTAAGCATAGAGTTGCCTATGATCCTGCAATTCCACTCCTACTTATATATCCAACAAAATGAAAACACACATCTGCCTTAAAACTCCAATATGAATGCTCATAGCAGCATTATTCCTAGTAGCCAACAAGTGGAAACAACCCATAGTCCATCCAATGATGATGGACAAATCCACAGTGGGCAGCAGGGCTAAAGACCTTGGGGTCCCAGGACCACAAACGGTAGGTGCAGAGGACAGAAGTTCTGCTTCTTAGAATAGAATAAAATGGAAAGAGACAATAGCCAGGCTCTCTGGGGTCTATCAGTGGGCACCTGCCCATGAGTGAAAGGCTGGCGAAATGCCTTACAGCTAACCCAGAAAGGCACCCAGGCAGATTCTCTCGCCCAGGGCAGAGGTGAGCATCAGAAGAACCTCTGCCACAGGACTCAGGCCCTGAGAATTGGACCCAGGGGATTGGAACTCCTCTACCTTCTAAATGGAAAAGCTGGCTCTGAGATGTGGATCCCTGGATGCCAGCCTCAGGCAGAATGGCTTCAAAGGGAGAAACCATGACAGGGAGTAAAAACAAAAACTAAGCCCTGGCCAGCGTGGCTCAGCTGGATGAGCATCATCCTGTGTCCTGGAGGGGCATGGGTTCAATTCCTTGGTAGGGCACCTGCGGAAGGCAGCCATCTGTTTCTCTCTCACATCAATGTTTCTTTTTCTCTCCCTTCCTCTCTGAGTCAATTAAAACATTATATATATAAAATGTATGTGTGTGTGTGTGTGTGTGTGTGTGTGTGTGTGTGTGTGCGTGTGTAGAGAGGGGAGGGGGCTATCAAATAATAATATTTTTCTTTCAAACAGTTTTTTTTTCAAAGTAAAATGAGTTGAATATGTAATAATAAAAAAATACCTTAGGCTTAATTTGATTGAGTAATTAGAATTTCCTTTCATAAAATTCTAAAGATTTGCTATGAACATATTACATTTTTTTTATAACAAAGGAATATGCTTATAGGTTCATTCAATATTTTCAAGAACCTGTGTGTTAGTCTAAACCATTGAACACATTTGCTACTAAAATAACAGGGCATGAAGTAAATCACAAAACGAGATAACCAGCCATGTCAATAAATACCCCCCAAGGAAATGTGTTTTAAAAACAACATAATTTCTGGGATTTAACACATAAAAAGACATTTTTCTTTTTCTCCCTCCTCCATCTCAATTCTCTAAGCAAATAAAGCCTCCCAAGTCTGAGATATTTCAGCAGAATGTCCACTAACCTTTTGACTCGTTTTTGGGCAGATCTTGTGAACACCTATCCCATACACAGCCTTACATTTTGTGTCCAAGTGGTCACTCTGTATGAAGACTGCATGGTCACTGAGGCACCTGACCCAAACCTCTCGACCATTATATTCCAATTGCACACCTTTGCCTATGCACAACCTTAGGGAGGAAAAGGGAATCACATTTTATGTTGATAAGTATTAAAAAACACATTAATTCAAATGACATACCATACTCAATACTTAAAAATTAAAAAAGAAGAACTTCATATAACACCATAATCAAAAGATTGCCATTGCATATTTTGTATATTTCCTTCTTTTTAAAATATCTTATACTATATAATTAAAGTGTAATATGCTAAGTGTCCGACCGTTCATGCGACCATTCCACCAGTTGCTAGGATGCGCACTGTCTGTTAGGTTAGCTTGCTGCTGGGGTCCGGCCTATCGGGACTGGGCGAGATGGGCTGGACAAGCCCTGAGGCCCTCCCGCGGTCTTTCCCCAGACAGCCAATATTCTGCAGTCCTTCCCTGGCCAGCCATCAGCCCTAATCAGAACTGGGTGAGATGGCCTTAATCGGCCCCAATCACCAGCCAGGCCAAGGGACCCCACTTGTGCACAAATTCATGCACCAGACCTCTAGTTCATATATAATAATGATGGGCATCTATCCTATATAATAAAAGAGTGATATGCAAATTAACCACCACTCCGCTACACCCACAAGCCATGCCCACCAGCCTAACAGAGCAATTATGCAAATTAATCCAGCCAAGATGGCTGCGGCCACAGGGAGGCTTGGGTTTCCCAGGCAATAGAGGAAGCCAAGCTTTCCACACACCCTGCCAGGCCCAGGCCTCCACTTAAGGCTACCAAGTTTTAATTATAGAAGTAAATAAATCCCCTGCCACCACAAGTGAGCAGGAGGCTTGGCTTCACTCCAGGCTACAAAGTTTCAATTGTAGAAGATAAATTCCAGATTCCAGGGCCTCCGCTTGGATTGCTGGGGGCGTGGCCAGCCTGCAAACCACCACAGACCCTTTGCTCAGGCCACCCATGCCCTAAGGAGCCCTCACCCTGATCCAGGACACACTTCAGGGCAAACCAGCTGGCCCCCACCTGTGCACCAGGCCTCTATCCTATCTAATAAAAGTAATATGCAGAATTGACCATCACTCCAACACACAAGATGGCAGCCCCCATGTGGTCAAAGATCCTGCCCCTATGTAGACACAAGATGGCCAACAGGGGAGCGCAGTCGAGAGGGACCAGACCTGAAAGGGAGGTCTGTGGGAGGCAATCAACCCTGCAGGGAGGGCAGTTAGGGGAGACCAGGCCAGCAGAGGAGGTAAGTTGAAGGCAAACAGGCTGACAGGGGAGCAGTTAGACATCTATCAGGCTAGCATGGGAGTGGTTAGGGGGTGATCAGGCTGGCAGGCAGAAAGGGTTAGGGGCAATCAGGAAGGCAGGCAGCTGAGCAGTTGGGAGCCAGCAGTCCTGGATTGAGAGAGGGATGTTCGACTGCCCCTAAGTAGGCAGTCGGACATCCCTGGAGGGGTCCCAGATTGGAGAGGATGCAGGCTGGGCTGAGGGACACCCCCGCCTCCTGTGTACGAATTTCGTGCACCAGGCCTCTAGTATATATATAAAATGCTAAGAGATCATCCCACTGGCTGAACGGCCAGCTGGTGTGACGCGCACTGACCACCAGGGGGCACACACTCAACGAAAGAGCTGCTGATCTGTGGTGGTTTTCAGGTGATGCACCCTGGAACCATAGAGGAGGGACCCACACAATTCCACCTTAGGCCGTGGGTTATGTTGTTGCTGGGGCACTGCTGGCCCCAAATTTAATTTACTGCTGAGCTCGGTGACCTCAGACACCCTTTGAGTTGAGATACCACCCCAGGTGTGGCTGGCCGGGGAAGGACTGCAGAAAGTTGGTTCCAGAGCATGTCCAGCCGCCACTTTCTAATTAATTTCTCTCAATGTGCACGAATCCATGTACTAGGCCACTAGTATACATAACATAATGCATAGTTACTGTGTCTCAGAAACATGTAATATAAACTCTCACTGAACCCTCAATTCAAGGAGCTAAAAATTATTATTCCCACTTCATAAATGACTAAACTAAGGCTTAAAGCTACACTGTTCAAAATAATAGCCACTAGCTACTACAAGTGGATATTTAATTTAATTTAAAATAATGAAAAATTCAGTTAACCACATGACTGTATCTTAAGTGCTCAATGGTTACACATGGCTAACGGCTGCAGTGCTGGACAACGCAGATAGAAACCATCACAGACATTTCTTGGACACACTGGCTTGGGGACCAGGTGATTTGCCAGACACACAGCTAGCAATAGAGCAAAGATTATGTATTTACACACACTCAAACATTTTCTTAGAGTTGAGATTACAAAGTACCTAACACTGTGTATGTTTTCCTATAATATTTCATCTTAAGCATTTACATTTGATTATATAAACACTTTATTAACATTTTAATGGCTACATAAAAAATAAAAGTTTATCAAAATTTACTCAACCACTTTCCCTTTCATTGTTTACCAACATTATAAATAACACATGCAGAGCCATGTCTTCATTTTAAATTATTGCCTTTCAATATATGTGTAGAATACATGATTGGAGGATACAAAAACTAGTTTTTAAATTGGATTCCAAAAGGTGTTGTTACTATTCAAAACAGGAACCTCACTTATAAACAAAAGAACCATTTTTTTAAATATTTTAAATAACAAACATCTGCAATACAAGTGGAATGCTTACTGATTCTGAATTTTCAAGATGACCTTTACTTCTTTTTTCTGAATGGAATGAATACACATTACCTACACTGAGAAATATAACTGACTAAAAGGACAATGTAGTGTATACAACTTGTAAAATACCTATACAATCAATACCTTGCTCTCTCAATGGCTTCTGTCCTGTGGACATTGGAGAGTTGACCCAAGCAAAAGCGATCTCCTCCAGAAGGGTCCACATATCCATCAACAGTAACAATAGGGCAGCTGGAAGGAACCTTAAATGTCTCTCCTACTTGAACATCCATTTCAAAGTAAGCGATGGAACACCAATACTCAGGAGCTACAGGAGAAAATGGGAGCAAACATCACTCCATAAGGCAAAGCTGTTCCTCAAATACAGGCTGAAGGGACAGAAGAGGAATCTGAAAGCACCCAAAAGAATTGGGTAAAATGATGCTTGAAATATCTAGGCATTTTCCTGTCTTCTATTTTTCAGCTCAGTGCCTAGCATTCTCAAAACTCTAGTCATTTTTTAAATCTGGAATTTGGTTCTTACCTCAAAAGACCCATTCAACTGAGAATTCAAAGAACAAAAGTAATCAGGACAGAAAATAAATTATTTTACTATGGCATTTCATTTCACATATTTTTTTTAATTTTTAAAATTGATTTTGAGAGAGAGAGAAAGAAACTAATTTGTTGCTCCTCTTATATTTATGCATTCATTGGTTGATTCTTGCATGTGTCCTGACAGGGGACCAAACCTGTAGCCATGGTGTATCTGGACAATGACCTAACCACTAAGGCAGACTCAACTTTTCTTTTTCTAAACACACTGACTTTAAGACATACTCTGAGGAATATTATCAAAAACATCAACCCATAGCATATTTTTCTAGTTCCCTAATTGAGTGTAAGGACCCAAGCTAGTCTGCCATTCATTCAGACCAGCCAAGGTTAATTGCACTCTAACTAGATAGCTGCTGTGAGCGGCAATGCTCAATCCTCTCTTGGCTGAAAGGTCATTTGTTGTATCACTTAGTGAAGTCAAGTCATGTTTGCCACTATGCTTTTAACGCTGAAGATGCATTTAGTGTGTTCATTTGAACAACAACAAATGGTTTAAAATAACAGTGAATGATTTGGGGGAAAGGAGGCACTACTTGGTTGGGTTTGTCAAGTTTCTGCTGACAATTGGTTTGTCAAGTAAACCAATTACTTATCTGCACGTCAACATGCCACTTATGAACTCTGACTGGACTAGGAGGAGAAGCAACAAAACTCTTAACAATCTGAAAGAATAGAAAAATAGATCTTTTCAACCCCATCTCAAAAAAAAAAATCTTAAAATGAAGTATAACTGATGCTTAAAATACATTTTTTAAAAACCTGTATTCTATGCATCTAATTGATCTTCTAAATGTTACCAAGAAAGAAAATACTTTCTAATAAAGAATAAAATGGACCGTGAAGATACAAAAATTAAAATTCATGACTTCTCAAACAAGTCAAATCAACTAATCATGAATACAAACATTCCTTTAAATATTTTTTATTGTCATTACAACAGGAAAACTAGTGACATCGAATGCCTTATTAAAAATCCCATTCTGAAATATTTATGAAGTTATTCCTTAGAGTAAAATTCTTCAGTCAAGACACCACTTTCTGCTTTGAACAAGAAACTTCACAAACACCTGGCAGGGAGGCTGCATGGAGCTAAACCAGAGGTTATCAAAGCCAACATGCAAAGCGCCCTGTGCCCTGGCAGCTGAAACCACCGATAGCATTGAACAGAGGTCCTCACACAATGAGTCCAAACAGTACAAACAATGCCCTGAAGTCATGAATGTTTACAATGGTAGTAAAAAAAATGAGGTGCAAATACATGCCTCTCCTAGTTCACACTGAAGAACACTATCTAGAAGGAAAGTTCCACAGAGACCAATGCTTTTCATGAGTCGATTCAGGCTGTGGAAAAGGAGTTGTAAAATCTTCTTGTTTACATTAAAAAACATACTGTTATCATGAACTGCAATGTCTGTACTTGCACTTACACCTTATTTAATTCTTTTCCAGTCACCAAGGGTGTTTTGTCTGTTTCCCTAATATTCCAGACATCATACAGCAAGGATGTTACGTGAAGCTACTCCCTGAATAGCTGATCCGCTCGGCTGGGAAGGAGAGAGGGACCACACACAGACCAGGAAGGAAAACTGAGCATCTGTTATGAAGAGGGCATGAGGCCTAAGAAAGCAGGAGGAAGGGGTCACTGGCAGTGAGCACAGAGGGCCAGAGGTCATCTAAATGGATTCCAGGGACCTTGGCAG